ATGCGAAAAGGCGATTGAATTGCTCTTTATGCCATGCATTATTTATTTATCGATTCATACATTTTTAAAAATTGATTCACATTTCCAAAAAACATCTGATTTCTATTATTACAGGAGTGACGTAAAAACGATAAATCGGTACACAATCCTACGGGACTTTGAAGTCGAAGGAATACTGATTAGAACGATTTCAGCATGTAAAAATGCTCACCCGGGACTATCACATCCGCGGGAAACGGTGGAGGTAATTCGTAGCATTAAAGTGGTACAATAACAGACTTCTACGGTACGCAACACAGGTTCCGCAGGTTGTAATAAACGAGTCTCGACCCTTTCGCAGGTTCGTACTACTCTATTCCGAGATCGTATTTCGGGATTGTATTATTGCGGGGATGGAGAAGAAACGTCGGGTACATACAAGAAAACGTCGTTGTGATGTCGCTTAAAAATTAACTCGGGGATGGAGGAGGTTTCGCACCCCTCATTTTCGGCCGTGGGACGAAACTCGTACTAGAACACGGCGTAAAATTCGTGTTACGTGTCGAGAATGTGTACCGAAATACGCACGAGTAGAATACGAGAAATTTATAGACATACGAAGCTGCAAGAGAGAACACGTTCGCAAGCAGTTCGGAGAAAGATGTATTTAATATATATTTAAAAAAAAAACAAACAAAAAAAATAGAAAGTATCACATCGCACCGCGCAAATAGCTCGGCGCAAGTAGTTCCGTGTAGTCTACGAGAAAAACGTAAGAATCATTGAATCAAGTGAAAATTAGTCTACTCCTTTTTTCCTTCCTACAACTACTTATATTACTCCTGTATTCGGTGCATTAACCGTGATTTAACGCAGTAACAACAATACATAATCATTTTTTTTACAAGTATTAGCACGATAAAAAAATTCTTTCATACTTTGTTTTATTTCATCAAATATTAAAAATTATATATGAAATAAAACGAGCGAGCTTTTTTATCATTCTAATATCTTAACTTATTTACTTTATGATATTCCAACTCTTACAAAAACAAATTTTTGTCAAATAGATTGTAAAGAACAATTGATATATAAGAATTAAGATAATCAGATGTTGAAAAAGCTCACTTGTAAAAAATGTATTATTGCGGATAATTAAATTGGATTAAATCTTGTATATCTAAACAAGATACGTGAATTTGATATTATTGTTAGAGCGTTAAGTCGATTTTTATCCGAAGGAATAAATGGAGTATGTTTACTGTTAATTTAATAATGCATAACGGCACATAAAAAAATTAAAACGCAACGACGAGCGTCTCGACGATCGTTAAATCGACTGATAGAATAATATATTAAACACTGCTCGAAAATAATTGGGAGGTTTCTGCTTTAAACGAACAGCTTAAATATTAGTTTATTAAAAGAGCTAAAAAAATATCGTGTATTTACATAAATATATTTATTAAAAAACAGGATATATATAATCAATTCTTTATGGAACAAATTTATCAAAAAGTGTAACAGCCTTACATATTAAAGACATGAAAAATATTATCGTAAATCATTGAATTTTCTTCAATCACGGATGGTTTCTATTTTTGGAGGCCCGTAACATTTCTAAATTAAAAAAAAATGCTTATTTATTAATTTATATATAATGAGTTTATATATTTTCTATTTCAACAGAATCAATATAAGGGAGCATTTTTGCTGAAAAAAAGTCATATTTTAAAAATATATCTTCATAAAAATAAAAACAAATTTTAATTTTTAGTTCTTATTATTTAACAAAATAATTAACTAAATTTTAACTAAATTTTAATGGAAAAAAGATGTATAATATAAAA